TTTCAACTGAATGTTTATTTTCAGTGTCCCCTGCTGGCTACAGAAGAGCACACACAGTCCACATCACAAGCAACCTGCTCTATCAGGACTGTGGCCTTTTTCGAAACCATTACTAAAAAGGAAGCTGAGAGACCGACTAATCCACCCAACACTGTCACTTAATCCCACTTTCATAACCACCGCCCAAGGCAAACAGAAGTCACCTACCAAGGCCACACAGTAGGCCAAAAGTTGATTTACAAGATTCTGATTCACGAGTCATCGCTCTAGAATCTCAAGCCATAAAGTCACCCCAGCCTTCACCGTAACTCACCTTCTGGTAAAGGTTTCCATAGCTGGGAAGCCTGGCTCTACAGGAGGTATGTAGAAGCCGTGTCTAGGGTTCCCTTCTCTGGAGCACACCTCTTACAGAAAGAATTTCAAGGCTGGACATGGTGGCTCATGCCTGTAATCCCAGCACTTTGGGAGGCCAAGGCAGGTGGATCACCTGAGGTCAGGAGTTTGGGACCAGCCTGACCGATATGGTGAAACCTGGTCTCAGTACAAAAATTAGCCGAGCATAGTGGCGCACGCCTGTTAATCCCAGTTACTTGGGAGACTGAGGCAGAAGAATCACTTGAACCCAGAGGCAGACGAGGAGGTTGCAGTGAGCTGAGATCATGCCATTTCACTCCAGCCTGGGTGACAAGAGTGAAACTCTGGCTCAGAAACAAAGAAAGAAAGAAAAAAGGAAGGATCTGGAGAAATTGATAACAGGCAACAGCTGAAGAATGAACAGAGCCCCACTGGCCAACAGATGGAAGAGAAAGGGTGCACTAGGCAACTGACATTTAGCATCAAATAAAATACTGCTGATCGTTAATGGTCATGAAATGTGGAGAAGTACCAAAAAAAAAAAAAAAAAAAAAAAAAAAAAAAAAAAAAAAAAAAAAAAAAAAAAAAAAAAGGGGGAAAAAAAAAAAAAAAAAAAAAAAAAAAAAAAAGGCCTCTCCCCGCTACCTGTGAAGAACGTGATTAGGTTCTGTCACACAGTGCTCATCCTCCTAAACAGTGTGAAAGTAACAAGACTGCTCACTCACCCACTCAAACACGGAGAAACTCAAAACTCCCCTCATCTGAGGTCTAAGCCCTTGCCATAGAAATGCTTCACCTGCTCTGTCAAGAACTATACTTTCTCTCAACCTTTTTTTCCCCCCAGAATCCAATTCTTCTAGCACACTGACTTTCCTGAAGGTCTGTCACAGCCCCCAGGCTCTTTGGAGACTGCACCACCAAGCCCAGCAGATGTGAGGACCAGAACACCAGGACAGAGAATTCAGACAGATGTCACTACAGCCTGCCTAGTCCTATGGGGGCCAGAACCATCTGGAGAGGGAACAGACCCACAAAATTGGAGACCTTTTTAGTGTTTGAGGTTCTGAGGCTCTATAGGAATTAGGAATATCTTTGGGTCACAAAGAAAAAAAAAAAACATGTAGAAGCTGCAGAAGATTGGTGAGTTATTCTTTAAAAACCCAATTTCTTGGCTTCCAAATCACTACACGCCCTACAGAAGCTTTGGCCACAGCCCCATCTGTTTGTCAATGCCATCTCCTCTCAATCTCCTCCACCACCCTTACCTTGCTCACCAAGTTACCAGTAGAAGGAATCATAGAATCCTCTTTCAAGACAGCCTAAAGCTCCTACCCTATTGGGGGAGAGGTTGAGTTGGGGGGAGATCTCGATCTCAAAGTCCAGCCACTTGTCAATCATAGACATATAACACGGTCATCTTCATCCAAAAGCATCCTCAGGGATACTCTCATAACTCCATGAGGCATAGCTTCGTAAAATACAACCTTTACTTACCTAATTGTCCAGCCTCTGAACCTCCCTCACATTTCAACTACTCCAGGAAGACATCTCTGCCATGCCAGCCGAAATGGATTTCTAGAGTGTCTGCTGTTCACTGCACTTATCTGTCCCTTAAGTACTTACTGACTTGCATGTACATACATGTTAGGGGTGTGAGGGAGCATCCTTCCATCTGTGAGGCTACCAGCCCCTACAAGGCCAAAGCAGTGTCCTTTACCTTTTTTTAACTTCATAATACCTAGACAACAGGGCTGCAAAAATGCTTGATCAACATTTGTAGAACGAAGAGATGGATGAGTAAACGAATGGACAGACCCTGGGTCTGCTCTCTGAGAACGAAGGCCTGACAGACACACATTGCTGTTGCCATGGTAGTTAGTCCTCACCCTGAAATCTCAGTCCAACCTTGAGAGTGTATCCTGACTTCCCCACAAACCAGTCGCATTAATTTAATCAAATCTCACTTTAACCACTCTGTACCTCAGTTTCCCTACCTCTAAAATGGAGACACCAGCTGCTTTATGGGCTTATAGTAAGAATCAAACAAGATAACACATTTATGCATACCTTTAAAAGTCTAACTAACTGATCTAATGAATATAAGGCAAATAAACAACAGAACATGAAAAAAAGCCAGTGTCTAGCATGACATTACACACAGCAGAAATTTTATTAGGGAAGAGGAATAACCCAGGACAGGTGAATCATGGTGGAAACTTACCCTGCTGCAAGCCCAAAGCCTGGTTCCTATCTGTACACCTTCAGGCAGGCCATTTAAACTGTGTCTGTTTCTCCATCCACAAAATGGGATATTTATCATAACACTGTGATCTCCATGTGAGTTGATACATGTAAAGTGTTTATTGTGGTACCTGGCACACAGTTTTAACAAATGTTAGTTGCCATTGTTCTTATCAGTATTTACCATTATTTTTTTATCATCAAGCCATAGTAGCCATTCCAGAGTTGTTTCTAGAAATGATTCAAACATTATAATTTTAATTAAATTCATTCTCTTCCATGTGCAGACAGTGCTATCAAGGTAGCCAACAGATTTAGTCATCTTGCTTCTACCAAGTCTCCTTGTTGGAAGAGTAGGGAATACCCTGAGTACCAGTACCAGAGTACCAGAATTAGTACCCAAGTACCAGACAGTAGGGAGTACCAGTTGGGATACTGACAAAGGGAGCCACATTTCATCCACAGCTACAAGGTTTGCCCCCTGGACCAAAATGAACCTGTACTTAACGAGACAATGGCTCACAGGATCTAGCAGTATCAAGGAAGAGATAAATGACAAAGTTTTTCCATCCTCATAAAATTTTATTTGGCTGAACAAGACAAGGTTATCCCAATTACAGTTCCCAGATTAACACTGCTCTCCTTGTTGAAATGCATCAAGACATACTCAAGGCAGATTTTTTAAGGCAAACATCTCTGCACGTCTCTGAGGACCAAACCAGGCTGAGCTGAGAGCATTCTGTTAAAGTGATGTCTCATCCTGAATGACGGCCAAGCTACCCCTCAGCCCCAAGCTGGGTGTGCTGACAGCAGGGGCACAGAGGGATGCTGAGAGGTTTCTGATGAAGAGCCCGGTGTCCCTGCAACACCTGGGCTTTTCTCGGAGGCCTTATCCAAGCTACAGACTGAGCATGGCTCTACTGAGGAATAAAGAACAGCTTTAGCTGCTGGTCTGGACCTGGAATTCCCAGTGACAATAGACTCTGCTAACAGCTTACCACCCAGAAAGAACGGGGTACCAGACCCCAAGAAAGCAAGGACTAAACACAAGAGAGAGGGATAGCAAAGCTTGAGGAAAAGAAACTCCCAACTGGGGGATAACTGATGTACATCACCTCTTAGGGCCTCGCAGTTTGTGAGAGTTTCACTTGCAGAAAATAAACATCTCCCTTTGCCTTCTTCAAAGTGCCTTTTCAAGACCCACTAAAGGGCCCTCTTCCCTAGAGGAAGGAAGGCTAGGCTAGACATTCTGTCAGGGTTTAATCCAGAGCAGCGGTGCCTGGAAGGCCAAAGGTGGCCCAGAGCCAGGTTAGGACCCCAGGCTTTAAATCGCTCAACACTCATCCCTGACTCTGAAAATCAGCCTTTCACTCAGAGATGTGACCTGCCACCACCCCACTCCATGCCTGGACAGCCAACCGCAATGAAGGCAGGACTCATCCCTGCAGGGTGCTCTCCAAAGCTCACCCTCCTCCTCCCACCCTCCACCCTCTTCAGAGAGAGAAAGCTCCCTCCCCAGTCCAAGGAGCCTTTATCCGACCTCTGAAGGAGGCCTCAGGCAGCTGCACATGCTGCCCTGCAGAGGTCCCAGATTACTGATATGGCAAAGTTTTCCAAGGAAAATCTGCAGTTTCTCCACCAGATAAAAAGCCAATTCACCTGCCAATGCAATCTCCTTATTGGGTCAAAAAAAAAGTAGAGGTAAAGGTTTTATTTTTTAAATGGAAGATAAAAATATTCTGACTACTTCCGTAGCTAGAATACAGCTACTCCCACACCCCAAGCAAGAGATGCCTTTAATGTCCCAATATTAAGGCCAGGAAGAGCCACTTGCAAAGGCCCAAGGTGAGTGCTTATGTTGGGGTAGGTGGTGGTCCGCTGGCCTTTGGACACCAGCCATCATAGAAGATGGAACCTGGCCCTCAGAGGGATGTCCCGAAGGACTGCCTGCCTTAAGCAGCTGACATGAGAAAGGCCCCCAGCCCCAAAATCACGTGTTGGTCAGGGGTAAGGAGGGGTACCACTGCACCCCCAGCCTGATGCAGACACACAACACCTTACAAAAGGGAAGGGATGTTTCTGTATTATAAAGTTCTCTCCGTAGGCACCACTCCTCACGTACTCAAAGTTGGAGAACCTTTTAGCTGCAGTTTGATTCTTTCCACTGCCCCCCAACTTCCACAAAACCCCTGCCCTCGAAGAAGGTAAGCAAAATACTGTAGCAGTGCAGAAGCTGGGGAAGCCAGGGAGAGTACCCCAACTTTTAAAGTGCCTAGCCCCCACATCTGAACCCCTTGATGCCTAGTGAGGTGGCATCAATGAAGGAGACCTCTTGAGGGTGCTGGGGGCAGCACAGGGCTGAAGAAAGGCAGAAGAGGAAGGTGCCCTATCCCTCCTCTACTTACCAGGATAGCTTGAATCCTTTCATTAGTACAGTCACGATAATCCACTGACCGTGTCCTTAGCATCCCCATTACAGCTCCGGAGGTCCCAGGACATATTGGAAAAGATGACGAAGTCCCAAAAGAACAGAATCCCATGTAATGTGACTTGAACACAGAAAGAGAAAGAGAGAAAGAGCCAGAAGAACCGCTGCCACTGCCCCTACTTCCCCGTCTCCCAACTGAAAGCTGGGCTTGGAGGTGAAGGACAGATTCTGCAAATCCAGCCTGGGGCTGGAGCCGCCTGCCTGAGCTGTGGCTGCCGCTGCCAGTTTCTGATGAGGATGGGTAATGCTGGCAAGGCTGCGAGAAACAAGCCCTGGAGTTGCCGTCAACAGCCAGGCTGGCCGGCTGCCCCCCACCCTCACCTCATACCAGCTCCGAACCGCCTTGGGGAAGGAAGCCAAGGAGAGTCTGGGAGGAGAGCACAAACCTAGCAGAACCTGCACCTCTCTTCCCCCAGGCAGCAGCTCCCGCAGCTCCATATAATCTCCTAATCAATGCAGTACCCAAGCAAAGCACTGCCAGCCACTTCCGCCCATTTAAAGACACAGCACATGTTTAGTCCCAGGATGGGACAGAATATCAGGGAGAGGGTGCGTGAGGAATTGGTACCAGGAAGGAAGAGGAGGAGGCAGAAATATCTGAAGGTGAGCACTTCTATCAGCATCCACCCAGGGGTTAAAACGGCGCACCCCTGTGGGGGAGGGGAGCTGGACCCCAGGTCCTCCGCACACCTCCGGAATCCTAAAGTTAGCAGACCTCAGACGCCCATGGTGAGTGCCTGGCACATCTAGGCACACAAGACCACCTTAAATAGAATCCTCACCCTCTCCCCAGCGAGGCGGGGCGAGCAGGGCTGCGTGCTCCCAGGCAGTGTGCTGCACACGGAATGCATATTTCTCTCTGCCTGCTGGGGAAATTGCCGTGACTTCTGGGGCGCACGGTGAGGCAGCAACTTCTGGTGGCAGGGCAGCACATGGTCACTGGGGTCCAGGGATCTTTTTAAGGTGATTACAAAGGCCTGGTTTAGGATTTAAGCAACATGATCACCAATCCTGGGTCCAAGAAGATGCAAAGCAGCCACAGCACCCAGTGAAGCAGGACCGGCATTTTCAACTTTAGCTGGAACATAACAATTCACTGAGAAGGGGGAAGCGGCTCCTCCTAAATCAGATCCTCCAGGCTGGCATCTGGGAGTTCCAGCACCAACAACTTCCCTGGCTGTATGATTCCTTTCTGTCTTTCCCTAAATTACCATCTGGGTCAGTAATGCGGATGGGTGACAACGAACAAAGAGATTAATTATGAAATAGCAACCTTCAACTGAACCATGATAATAAGGCTTTACCCAGAAACTTGCCCCAAAGCAATTGAACCATAATAAGCCTTCACCCTGAAATTTGCCCCTAAAACAATCTGCAGACATCCTCCTGTTGTATGGACATCATCTCTACTTGACCCTCGAAAGTGAGAAAAACTGATCATTTCTGTTTTGACCAGGCATGATGGCGGATCACTTGAGGTCGGGAGTTCGAGAGCAGCCTGGCCAACATGGTGAAACCCCATCTTTACTAAAAGTACAAAATTTAGCCGGGCATGGTGGCACGTGCCTGTAATGCCAGTTACTTGGGAGGCAGAGACAGGAAACTTGCTTGAACCCAAGAGACAGAGGTTGCAGTGAGCCCAGATCCTACCACTGTAATCCAGCCTGGGTGACAGAGCGAGACTCTGTCTCAAACAAAAAATAAAATAAAATAAAATAAAGAAAAACTGGAATGCAGACCCTGGTTGGTAACAGTTGCCATACTTGTAATGACTTATTATCTGCTAAGCACATGAAGACAAGGACTGTGTGTCATTCAGCTAGCTCTATATCCCCACTGGCGAGGAGAGCTTGTGTATTGTAGGGGTACTATATGCAAGTGTTTAAGTGACCTTACTCAAACCAAACGAAAACACCACGGTATCTTCCCAGTGTCCACATGGTCCAGAAGAAATACTTTTTAAGGTATAATAAGCTTTTGTGACCTGATTCCAGCAGTAAAAAATGAAAGAAAGAAAAGAATAAGGTATACTGAGCTTTCAGAGAGGTGTTCTCGAAGCAGCCCTTTGCTGTGGAATTTATCTGTCCATAGCTCCATGCCAGACAACCCTCAAATGCTGCCAGGACTTCTGAACACATCCAAAATTATGTTTTTAAAGCTCCTGGAGGCTGTACCCAGGCCATACTTTCTGCACAGATAGTGAAGGGATCAACAGATTCCAGAAGTACAAAGAGTTGTCCTTTATGACCTAGATAATTCATTCAATGGAAATACCAGGTCATGTGATCCAGCCCCGAGGCAAATGTCACTGAGAGTACTCCAGGTACACATGAGTACTGCATTCTTATCCTGGTCCATCAACTGCTCTGATCACAAGTCCTACATAAAACCTGGATCAAAGATTTCCAAGTATTATATTAAAAACACATTACTGTAACTAAAAATTTTTGGCTTTTGCTCTAGCTGGTTTTCTTCTTAACTCCACAAACAAAAATCCAAAAAGTCAACTCCTTCTCAACTATTAATAAGAGTATATTGAGGGCTAGTTATGTCAGGCATCAAGCTAAGCATTTTGCATGTATTATCTTACTTAATCCTTACATCCAATTTATAAGGCAGCGCCTCATGATTTTTCGGATAATGCCACTGAAGAGTAATTGTAGTGTCTTATTTATTTATTTATTTATTTATTTTGAGACAGAGTCTCACTCTGTCTCCCAGGCTGGAGTACAGTGGTACTATCTCAGCTCACTGCAACCTCCACCGCCCAGGTTCAAGCAATTCTCCTGCCTCAGTCTCCCAAGTAGCTGGGATTCCAAGCGTGCATCACAATGCCCGGTTATTTTTTGTATTTTTAGTATACAGGCGGGGTTTCTCCACGTTGGCCAGGCTGGTCTGGAACTCCTGACCTCAGGAAATCCATCCACCTCAACCTCCCAAAGTACTGGGACTACAGGTGTGAGCCACTGCGCCCAGCATAACTGTAGTGTCTTGATTTGCCTAATGTCAAACAGCTAGCAAATTGCAAGTCTGGGATTTGAATGCATTAATGCCCAGCTCAAAAACCTATTCTCTTAATCGCTATGTATGTTTATAAAAAATCTCCTTCTCTATCAGACAAGCTGGTTTATGAAAGCTTACATGCTCCCAGGAGAAAAAGAATCCAGGCAACAAGCAAAAAAGAGACTACATCAAGACTAAATCTCTTCTATTACTGATGAGTTGGCTGGCTTGAGTGTCTGTGTGTGTTGTGAGGAACCCTAAAGGGAAGGATGAACAGGAGAGCCCAGTGGGTTGAGTGATCATCATCTGCCTTGAATTCCCCTTGGCTTGCTCTTGGTTCTGAAACAGAGCTTTTCACAGGGACCTGGAGACAGGTTTCATTTTTTATGGTCTATAAAGGAAATCTTGGCCAGGAATGGTGGGTCACACCTGTAATTCTAGCACTTTGGGAGGCTGAGATGGGCGGATCACCTGAGGTTAGGAGTTCGAGACCAGCCTGGCCAACATGGTAAAATCCCATCTCTACTAAAAATGCAGAATTAGCTGGGCGTGGTGGCGCATACTTGTAATCCCAGAGACTTGAGAGGCTGAGGCAGGAGAATTGCTGGAACCCGGGAAGCAGAGGTTACAGTAAACCCAGATCCCACCACTGCAATCCAGCCTGGGCGACAAAGCGAGACTCTGTCTCAAACAAACAAAGAAGAAGAAAATCTCAAAAGGTGATCCAAACATAACTTTGAAAAGACATGAAAGTGCTTTCTGAGGTAAAGACTAAGACCAAGTGAGATGGAAGCTCATCTAACGTTCCTCTTTATCTTCTCAGAGACAGCAGTCTCCACGGTTTGAAAAGTTCATGGCCAGCCAATCGTGAGCACTGACACAATCGCTAGGAATGAACACACTGATTCTCCTGCTTCTGCCTGACTCCCTGCAATCTGGTTGCTCCCTGATATTTGCATTTCAGGAAGGATAAGAATTGTTTAGAGGAAACTAGATTGCAAAGACTTCCATGTCTGGCAATATGGCATATTCACAGATAAAGCAGAAAACAAAAGTATTTTAAAGTGCATGATGAGCTATCAAAAAAGTAAGAAATATTTAAAGGTCAAAAATTTAGCGATAGCTGAAAATAGTGAAACTGGGCTTCAGTTTTCATGGCGTCCCAGAGCACACTAGAGATAATTCCCAAAGCCCACTAATGGTGAGAGAATTAAGAGGAGACTGCCTCATAAAGTGGGTCCCAGTGGACTACAGTCTTACTGTAAGGATAAACTTGAAAGAAATTCACAAATGCTGCCCAGGAACTAAAAGGAACACTGCCTGTCCTAAACCTTGATGTTGAACAAAGGAAGAAGAACAATCTCTCCTGATAAATCATAATCACAAACTGACTCCTCCACTGACTGTGTGCCTTGAGAGTTTCCTAAACAATTGACCTGAAAACAATGCCCACAAAAGAAAAAAATGATAGATTCAGCCACAGTGAAGTTAAAAACTTCTGATTATCCAAGGAGATCATAGAGAGAAAAGACAAGACTTTTCTGAGAGAAAATATTTGCAACATATATTGATTGAGGAAGGAGTTGGACACAGAATTAATTAAAAATTCCTGCAAACCAGTGAGAAAAAGAAAGGTAATTCAAAAAATAGACACATGATTTGAGTAAGCATTTTCAAAAGAGAAAGCAATAAACATATAAAAAGGGGCTCAATTCGTTAGTACTCAGGAAAATATAAATTGGAACTCTGGTGAGATGCCATCACATACTCATCCCACTGACAAAAATTAAAAAGTCAAATAATACCAAGTGTTGGAAAGGAGCTAGTGGGTGTATCCTGGTTCAGCTCCCTAAGAAAATTATGTGTTATTATGTAATAAATTTGGATGATTGCATCCTCTAACACCTAACAGTTCTACTTCAATAATGGAAGCAACTTACATTCAGAGGGATGCACATGAAACTTTAAATGGCATTCCATGTAATAGCAAAAAAACAAAATAAAAACCCCCGAGACAAACATCTATCAACAGAAAGAATAAATGCCTTGTGTTATTTTCTTAAGTTGGAGCAATACACAGCACTGAAAATGTATAATCAGTTACATGCAGTGGAGCAGAACGGGTGAGAGGTGCTCCTGCAACTGTCATTTCTTCTTTATACACATATTTTATAATTTGATAAATATTATTTGGGTTCTTTTTCTTTTCCTTCCTTCCTTCCTTCCTTCCTTCCTTCCTTCCTTCCTTCCCTCCCTCCCTCCCTCCTTCTCTCTCTTTCTTTCTTTCTTCTCTCTCTCTCTTCTTTCTTTCTTTCTTTCTTTTTTGAGGCAAGGTCTTACTCTGTTGCCCAGGCTGGAGTACAGTGGCTTGATGATCTCCTGGGCTCCAGTGGCCCTCCCACCTCAGCTTCCTGAGTAGCTGGGATTGCAGACATGCACCACCATGCCCGAAGAATTTATTTTTATTTTTTGGAGAGACGAGGTTTCACTGTGTTGCCCAGGCTGTTCTTGAACACCTAGGCTCAAACAGTCTGCCCGCTTTGG